TATGTGTATATATGTATGTGTATATATATACAGGCTGTCTTGTATCACCTTCACAATCTCTCATGAGGACGTAGAGCGGATTGAAATGAAAACAAAATTGTTACATGACTATGCACAAATTTTCTTTAATTAATATCTAAAAATCTATGTTATTTGCAAAATGGTAGAAGACTTTTTTGTTCAATTTGACTTAATGTACAAGTATACAACGGCAGACGGCGCAATTGCAGCTCATCTACTATATCGCGCATTATTATACCAATCTTTTTTAATTAATATCTCTACTATTATTGTGAATATCGCAAAATGGTATAGGATTTTTGTGATCATCTCAATCCGCTCTATGCCCTCACGAGAGATTGTGAAGGTGATATGTGATACCCTGTATATACAGAGTGAGTCATTTTAATCGAACCAGGCAAATATCTGGAAAAATATGGAAGATATGGAAAAATATTTCAAACAAAAGTTGTATGATTCGGAGGGGGACATAAGATGGTGCAATTGGCTTGACCCTGGATAGTCGTTTGAAAGTCACGTGAAGGTCATCTTCAGTTTCTTAAATAGAAACCTCCATTTTTCATTGCATATTCTTGTAGCTTACCTCGTGAGCTTTCCAAAACACTATAATAAAATATTTTTTCATTATCTATCTTTCGAGTTAAAAGGCTTCAAAGTTACAATATTGTTGCCATTAACATTGGTACCCAAGGTATTCGACTGATGGCTGAAATCTTTTGAATGTTGTTCAGGGCCATGACCTTGATAACATTTGTCAAAGTCAAGGCGATTGGAGGCTGTTATTAACATTTTCATTTCTTCAAATTTTACAGTGAAAACAAAAATAATAATTTAAAATCATGGGGTAACATGTGGAGTCCGATTGACTCTAAAGGATCATATGAAAGTCACAAGGCTTCGTCGGGGCCACAAAGAAGCACACGTGTGAAATTCCATTAATAAATTTCTTTAATAATCATAGCATTGTGAGGAGTCGTTAAGAGCGTTTTTGTTTTTGATTTTCAGTAAGTGCCTGAACTCGTTGAATGTAATAAGCGTGAAAATTATTCGCTTTTAAAATTCGCCGGATAGTTAACTGAGAAACATTGAATTCTCGACTGATTTATTATACGTTGGCCAATCTGAGGATTTATTACTACTATCCCTAAAATAGCTATATTAAAATCATTAGCATCAGTTAAAGATTTCTTTCTACGTTTGCGACATAATATACCTTCACGAGCTCTATTAATAACTTTCATTATTACAGCACAGTAGTATGATTGGAACATCGACGATCTGGATACTGTAGAGCATATTGACGGGCATATTGTCTGTAGTTTTCATTAGCCCTTCCATATTCAATTATCATGTCAATAATTTCACTAGGTGAATAATCAGTCATGTTTATTATTAAGGAAACAAAGTGTTAATTTTAATACTCTTTTTTAATTTTTGTGCATCTAAAGTGACACGTCTACAGTGGCGAGGTAACTGATATAGCGTTTTGCTTGCTTGTTAATGAAACGTTTGAGAACGAGTATCGCGCGAGAGTCGAGTGGAGAGAATGTGCACACAGGGATAAGGCATGTGCGTGTGCACCCCAACCATTTGACAAAATTCATTTTTACGTAGAAATGGAAATAACGGGTACAACCTATAACACGCACAGAAGTTTAAATCCGACCGGCCAACCTCCACGTGGTACATCTTGGATAATGCTAATGCCGGCGGTACTGTAACTTTCAAGCCTTATAACTCGAAAAATAGTTAATGAAAAAATATTTTATTAAAGTGTTTTGGAAAGCTCTCGAAGTAAGCTACAAGAATATGCAATGAAAAATGGAGGTTTCCATTTAAGAAATTGAAGGTAACCTTCACGTGACTTTCAAACGACTATCCAGGGTCAAATTGCACCATTTTATGCCTCCCTCTAAATCATACAACTTTTGTTTGAAATATTTTTCCATATCTTCCATATTTTTCGAGATATTTGCCTAGTTCCATTAAAATGACTCACCCTGTATATATACAGGGTGAGAAAAATGTTACAGAACATCTCAATATTTCGGAAACTAAACATTTTGGAAAGAAATGTTTTAGATAAAAATTGTAAGGTTTAAAAAGATCTATTTACTGGTCTTATCAATTTGACCTTGGATCGCGTCGCCAAGGTCAGAACAAGGTCAACTTTGCTTTTTTAAATAGAAACATATATTTTTTTATTATAGAATTTTATTCTACATAAAGAAACAAACAACTTTTGTTTGAAAAAATTTTTTATACGACTTCTATTTTCTAAGATATTTACGGAAATATCTACAAAATTATTGATTTCAATAATTTTTTACTCGAATTCTATTAACTTTACCGAAAAATATCAAAAGTTGAAAAATGTTTATTTTGTTCTCATAGAACTTAGAATTTTTTCAGAATTTTGTATTAACTTTTTAGTACTTCAAGAAAATGCAGTAATATATACACAGTATATATACACAGGGTATCTTAAAATTGTAACACACCAACTCCATAGGGGCGTAGAGCTAAGCGAGAGGATCAGAAGAGTTCCATTTCGCGATAACGCTTCTAGTTTGTTAATAATAACCGCGTAAAATTTGGCGTTCATCGTCGCCTCGCCGCCTGCCGCCAGCGTCAAAGCATCAAAACGCCAGCGCGAACCGCGCTACCGCTCAGTCTCGACGCACACAACTCGCCGCGAAGCGTTTATAGGCCGCGATGGGCGTAAGAAACGCCAAACTTTACGCGGTTGTTACTAACAAACCAGACGCGTTATCGCTAAATGGAAGAGGACATTTCTGATTTTCTCGCTTAGCTCTACGCCCTTATGGAGCTGGTGTGTTACAATTTTGAGACACCCTGTGATATATATATATATATATATATACAGTGATGGGAAAAAGTTCCGGAACGGTCAAATAACTCAGCGAGATTGCATTTTTTGGAAAAATGTTATATACGAAAGTTTTATGATTTTTCCCTATCTATCTAATGGTGATATGAATTTTGACCTTGACTATTATGTTGAAGGTCATTTCAAGGTCAAGTTCAATTTTTCAAGTGGGAACCACTATTTTTTACCACGAATTTGGAAAGAGCGGAAAATTTTACGTTCAGGACATGACCTTTTAAATCAGTCAAGGTCATTTCAAAGTGAATGTTCGAAAATTTCAGGGATGGCAATAGTAACTTAGCGAGGTTTTAACTGCAATTTCAAACATCCTGCAATATGTATGATCAGTCTTTTCTAACAATACCGCCGGCATTAGCATTACCCGAGATGTACCGCGTGGAGGTTGCACGGTCGGGTTTACATCTCTTCGGG